AAAGAAAAGAAAAAAGAAAAGAAAGAAAAAGAGAGGGAGGGAAGGAAGGAGAGGGAGGAAAGGAAGAAGAGGAGGAGGAGGAAAAAAGGTTACAAGTGGTTGTTACTAGGAATGGGGGAGAAAAGACGTTGGTAATGGTACTGAAGCTTTTTATTATATCTTTCGGTATTCTCTGATTGTTCTTAAACCATCAACAGATCTGAGTATGTAGACTAACAGGGAAGATTTGGTGAAGAGATCTTTCACTATGCGCACTTGCTACGGATGTTTATGCCTGCTGCCTGGGAGGCATCCTTTACTAAGTAGGCCCCTGTTGCCAGGGAAACCAGCTCTCCACTGATACCAGAGATAATGCTAAGGCCTGCTGCTTACCAGGCAACCTTCCTCGTGAGCTATGTCCCCACCCTCCTGAACTGTCTCCTGCCCCTGTGTGATACTGTCCTGCTGCAGGAAGTTTACCTTTGCCATCTCTCACTTCCCTCTTTGTCACCTGTGATGCTGGCTAAGGGAACTAGGCCAGTCAGCAGTGACCTGTTGCCCTTGCTTTGTTATATGCAACCTGTTCACAATAAATGAGCTGCTATTTTATAAATGATATGCATCACAGCACACAGAGTCACATCAAAATCACATTAGTTTTTTCATACTTGCTTCATTGACCCCAAGGGAAGAAGTGGAGAGCAGGAGAGGACTTTCTCTTCTTTTTAATACTAATTATGTTGAGGCATAAAGAACATAGAGTAAGTTCACAGACCTTAAGAATACAGTTTGATGAGTCTTGGCAAACATATATACCTGTGGAACCAACACCCGAGTCAAGATATAAATACTTACATCAACCCAGAAAGTTCCTTCTTGGACCTGTCTAGTCGGGAATGCCTCGTGCCCCCATTGCCTTCACCCTTGGCCTCCCTGCCTTCCCATCTCCACTCCCACCCCTCACTGCTCTATCACCATTGTTTAGATTCTTCTGCTATTGATCTTCATAAAACCAGTATATTTCCTTGCGTGTCTGGTTTCTTTCCCTCAAAATAATGTTTTTAACATTTATCCATATTGTTATATGTATCAGTTGTTTCTTCCCGATTAGTACTCTGTTGTATGGATAAACTATTTTGTTTATCCATTTTCTGTTGACATTTTTTTTTTTTTGAGATGGAGTTTTCGTTCTTGTTACCCAGGCTGGAGTGTAATGGCGCGATCTCGGCTCACCGCAACCTCTGCCTCCTGGGTTCAGGCAATTCTCCTGCTTCAATCTCCTGAGTAGCTGGGATTACAGGCACACGCCACCATGCCCAGCTAATGTTTTGTATTTTTAGTAGAGATGGGGTTTCACCATGTTGACCAGGATGGTCTCGATCTCTTGACCTCGTAATCCACCCGCCTCGGCCTCCTAAAGTGCTGGGATTACAGGCTTGAGCTACCGCACCCGGCCTGTTTCACTTCTTTCTTTGGCCACCTGGTTACTTGTGGTTACTTCAGACTTCCTGACTCCTGGGGACCATCCAGAGGTATACGTGCGAGTCACCAAGGCTATAATGGCCAGGCTTGGACTTGGAAGCCTGACATAACTACCTAGGAGAGAAATTATTCAGATGTGGGATAGGTTTATGCTTAACTTTATAAGTAAACTTGATTCTTTTATTTAAAATTATGATAAAATACACATAAAATTGCCCATCTTAACTGTTTTTAACTATACAGTGCAGTGTTATTAAGCACATCACATTGCTAAACAGCCATCACCACCAACCATCCAACCATCTGCAGAACTTTTTTTTTCTTTTTTTCTTTTTTTTCAGAGATGAGGTTTCACCATGTTGGCCAGGCTGGTCTTAAACTGCTGACCTCAGGTGATCCACCCACTTTGGCCTCCCAAAGTGCTGGGATTATAGGCCTGAGCCATCATGCCCGGCCTGCAGAACTATTTTTATCTCGCAAAATTGGAACTCTGAGCCAGGTACCATGGCTCACGACTGCAAACTCAGCACTTTGGGAGCCTGAAACAGGAGGATTGCTTCAGCCCATGAGTTTGAGACCAGCTAGGGCAATACGGTGAGACCCTGTCTCTATAAAAATAAAATAAAAATAGGCCAGGCATGGTAGTTAATGCCTGTAATCCCAGCACTTTGGGAGGCCTAGCTGGGCAGATTGCCTGAGCTCAAGAGTTGGAGACCAGCCTGGCCAACATGGTGAAATCGTCTCCCTACTAAAAATAAAAAATTAGCCGGGTGTTATGAAGTGTGCCTTTAGTACCAGCTACTCGAGAAGCTGAGGCAGGAGACTCACTTGAACCTGGGAGGCGGAGGTTGCAGTGAGCTGAGATCACGCTGCTGCACTCCAGTCTGCTGACAGAGTGAGATTGTCTCAAAAAAAAAAAAAAAAAAAAAAAGCAATAAAAGGCATAACATAGGCTTTAGAAATTTATTTTATAATGGGTTTGATGTACAATAAAGATACATTAGTTATTAAATAAGGTATAAAATGATCAAGGATATGGAAAAATAATGAAAAAATAAAATAGGAAGAATTAATTTTACAAAGCAGAAGTCAATGAAATAGAAAATAATACTGATGTATAGGCTGGGTGTGGTGCCTTATGCCTGTAATCCCAGCACTTTGGGAGGTCAAGACAGAAGGATTTCTTGAGCCTAGGAATTGGAGACCAGGCAATATAGGAAGACTCTATCTCTACAAAAAATTTAAAATCAGCCAGACATGGAAGTGTGCGCCTGTAGTCCCGGCTACACGGGAGGGTTGCTTGAGCCCAGGAGTCTGAGGCTGCAGTGTGCCCTGTGTGCACCACTGCATTCCAGCCTGGGTAATACCTCTATCAGGGGAGACCCTGTGAGGAAGGAAAGAACAGAGGAAGGAAAGAAATAACAATAATAATAATATATAAATAGAGGAGCAAAAGACAAAAATAATCTGTGTTGAGCCTAATTAAGAAAAAGAGAAAGCCCATGAGACAGGGAGCATAACCTGAGATACAGAGAAAACAAAAATGCTAAAAAATAATGCAATAAATTTGAAAACCTGACTGAAAAATTCCCTAGGAAAATTTAAAATTCAAAATAAGTCAATATATTTAAGAGAAGCAATGGAAAAGTTGTCAAAGAACTATCTAAAGTGAAGCTGGGTGCAGTAGGTAACACCTGTAATCCCAGCACTTTGGGAGATTAGGGTGGGAGGATCATTTGAGCCCAGGAGTTCAAGATCAGCCTGGGCAACATGGGAAAACCCCATCTCCACAAAAAATTATTAAAATTAGTGGGACGTGGTGGTGCATGCCTGTAGTTCCAACTACGTAGGAGGCTACAGTGGGAGGATCACTTGAGCCTGGGAGGTGAAGGCTACAGTGAGCTGTGATCATGCCACTGCACAGCCTGGGCAACAGAGCGAGACCTAAAAAAAAAAAAACCAAAACAAGCAAACAAAATGTAAAGTGGCACCATTCTCATTCTTTTTTTAAAAAATTGAATTATTGGCCAGGCGCGATGGCTCACGCTTGTAAGCCCAGCACTTTGGGAGGCTGAGGTGGGTGGATCACGAGGTCAGGAGTTCAAGACCAGCTTGGCCAACACAGCGAAACCCCGTCTCTACTAAAAATACAAAAATTAGCTGGGTGTAGTGGCGGGTGCCTGTAATCCCAGCTGCTCAGGAGGTTGAGGCAGGAAAATCACTTGAACCTGAAGCGGGTGGAGGTTGCAGTGAGCCAAGATCGTGCCACTGTACTCCAGCTTGGGCGACAGAGCTAGACTCCGTCTCAAAAAAAAAAAAAAAAAAAAAAAAAAAAAAAAAAAAGCAATTATTTTGCTGATGTATAATAGGTGTACATAGATTTGGAGTACATGTGATTTATAAAGTTCAAATTGGTGTACTTGGGACATCTACTACCTTAAATATTTATCTCTTCTTTATGCTAGAAACATCCAAGCTATTCTCTTTTAGTTACGTTGAAATGGTCAAGATTACTGTAAACCATAGTCACCCTACTGATCTATCAACCACTAGGTCATATTTCTTCTATAAACTCATATGTTTGTGTCCGTTGATCAACTTCTCTTCCTCCCCTCCTCCTGATACCTTGCCTGGCCTCTGGTAACCATAAATGTACTCTCTATCTTCATGAGATCCAATTTTTTAGTTTCCACATATGAGTAAGAAGAGCATGTGATATTGGCCTTTCTGTGTTTGGCTTATTTCATTTAACGTAATGACCTTTAGTTCCATCCATGTTGCAGCAAATGACAGGATTTCATTTTTTAATTTTTATTATTATTTTTTTTTTGAGACGGAGTTTCGCTCTTGTTACCCAGGCTGGAGTGCAATGGCGCGATCTCGGCTCACCGCAACCTCCGCCTCCTGGGCTCAGGCAATTCTCCTGCCTCAGCCTCCTGAGTAGCTGGGATTACAGGCACGTGCCACCATGCCCAGCTAATTTTTTGTATCTTTAGTAGAGACGGGGTTTCACCATGTTGACCAGGATGGTCTCGATCTCTCAACCTCATGATCCACCCGCCTCAGCCTCCCAAAGTGCTGGGATTACAGGCTTGAGCCACCGCGCCCGGCTCATTTTTTTAAATGGCGGAATAATATTCTATTTTGTATATGTACCACATCCATTTTCTTTACCTATTCATCCATTGATGAGCACTTTGACTGATTCTGTATTTGGGCTATTGTTGAGTAATGCTGCACCAAACGTGGGAGTGCAGATACCTCTTTGGTATATTGATTTCCTTTCTTTTGGATATATGCTCAATAGTGGAATTGCTAGATCATATGATTGTTCTAGTTTTAGTTTTTTGAAGAAACTCCATATTGTTCTCCATAGTGGCTGTACGAATTTACATGCCCACCAACAGTGTACAAGGGTTCCCCTTTCTCCACATCCTTGCCAGCATCCATTATTGTCTGTTGTTTTGATAAAAGCCATTTTAACTGGGGTAAGCTGACATCTCACTGTAGTTTTGATTTGCATTTTTCTCTAATGATTAGTGACGTTGAGCATTTCTTCACGTACCTCTTGGCCATTTCTGTGTCTTCTTTTGAGAAGTGTCTATTTGGAGGGGTTGGGGGAAAAAAAGAGAAATGTCTATTCAGACTTTTTGCCCATTTTTAAATCAGATTTTTTTTTTCTATTTGTTTGAGCTCCTTGTATATTCTGGTCACTAATTTCTTTTTAGACGGATAGTTTGCAAATATTTTCTCCCATTCTGTGGGTCATCTCTTTAGTTTGTTGATTGTTTCCTTTGCTGTACCGCTTTTTAGCTTCATGTAAGCCCATTTGTCTGTTTTCACTTTGGTTGCCTGTGCTGTTGAGGTTTTACACAAAAAAAATCTTGCCTAGACCAATGTCCTAGAGCGTTTCCCCAGTTTCCTCTAATAGTTTCACAGTTTCACATCTTAGACTTAGGTCTTTTTTATTATTTATTTATTTATTTATGAGACTGAGTCTCGCTGTCACCCAGGCTAGAGTGCAATGACTTGATCTCGGCTCACTGCAACCTCCTCCTGCCGGGTTCAAGCAATTCTCCTGCCTCAGCCTCCCAAGTAGCTGAGACTACAGGCGTGTGCCGCCATGCCCAATTATTTTGTCTTTTTGGTAGACGGAGTTTCACCATGCTGGCCAGGCTGGTCTCGAACTCCTGACCTTGTGATCTGCCTGCCTCAGCCTCCCAAAGAGCTGGGATTACAGGTGTGAGTAACTGTGCCTGGCCTAGAGTTAGTTCTTTAATCCATTGTTTTTTTTTTTATATGGTGAAAGATAGGAGTTTAGTTTAATTCTTCTGCATATAGTCATCGAGTTTTCCCAGCAACACTTACTGAAGAGACTGTTTTTTTCCTATTGTATATTATTGGTACCTTTGTCAAAGATGAGTTGGCTGGGTGGATTTACATAAGTTCTTTATTCTGTTCCATTGGTCTATATGTCTGTTTTTATGCCAGTACCATGCTAATTTGGTTACTAGAGCATTGCAGTAAATTTTGAAGTCAGGTAGTGAAATGCTTTCAGCTTTAGTCTTTTTGCTTGAGACCGTTTTATCTATTAGGGGTCTTTTCTAGTTCCATATACATTTTAGGATTTTAAAATTTATAGGATTTAAAAAAATTTCTATGAAGAATGTCATTGGAATTTTTATAAGATTTGCATTGAATAGGTTAATTGCATTAAGTAGTATTGTCATTTTATTTGAGACAGGGTCTTCACTCTGTCAATCAGTCTAGAGTGCAATGGTGTGATCATGGCTCATTGCATGATCATGGTTCACTGTAACCTTGACCTCCTGGGCTCAAGTGACCTCCTACTTTGGCTTCACAATATGCTGAGATTACAGCTGTAATTTTAACAATATTAATTCTTCCAGTCCATGATCATGGAATCTCCTTTTTGTGTGTGTGTGTGTCCTCTTTAATTTCTTTCACGCTTTATAGTTGTCCTTGTATAGATCTTTCACTTCTTTGGTTAAATTGATCCCAGGTATTTTATATTAACTGCAGTAATTGTAAATAGAGTTGCATTTTTTCTTTTTTGAGATTGTTCCCTTCTGGTGTACATAAATGCTACTGTTTTTTGCATCCTGCAATTTTACTGAATTCATTTATCAGTTCTATTAATCTTTCTGGTGATGTCTTTAGGTTTTTCTAAATATAAGTTCCTGTCATCTGTGAAAAGGTCTGTCACCCAGCCTGGAGTGCAGTGGCACCATCTTGGCTTACTGCAATCTGTCTCCTGAGTTCAAGTGATTCTCCTGCCTCAGCCGTCAGAGTAGCTGGGATTACAGGTGCCTACCACCACTCCTGGCTAGTTTTTGCATTTTTAGTAGAGATGGGATTTCGCCATGTTGGCCAGGCTGCTCTTACACTTTTGACTTCAGGTGATTCACCTACCTTGGCCTCCCAAAGTGCTGGCATTACATGTGTGAGACACCATACCCAGTCCTTCCTTTTTGTTTTGAGACAGAGTTTCGCTCTTGTTGCCCAGGCTGGAGTGCAATGGCGCATTCTCAGCTCACTGCAACCTCCACCTCCTGGGTTCAAGCAATTCTCCTGTCTCAGCCTCCCAAGTAGCTGGGATTACAGGCATGTGCCACCATGCCCAGCTAATTTTTTGTATTTTTAGTAGAGACAGCATTTCACCATGTTGGCCAGGATGGTCTCAATCTCTTGACTTCGTGATCCACCTGCCTCGGCCTCCCAAAGTGCTGGGATTACAGGTGTTAGCCACCACGCCCAGCCCAGGCCTTCCTTTTCAATTTTTTTTTTGAGACACAGTCTCCCTGTCACCCAGGCTGGAGTACAGTGGCTCGCCCTCAGCTCACTGCAACTTCCACCTCCCGGGTTCAAGCGATTCTTCTGCCTCAGCCTCCCTAGTAGCTGGGATTACAGGCATGTGCCACCATGCCCAGCTAATTTTTGTATTTTTAGTAGAGATGGGGTTTCACCATGTTGGCCAGGATGGTCTCAATCTCTTGACCTCGTGATCTGCCCACCTCGGCCTCCCAAAGTGCTGGGATTACAGGCATGATCCACCAGGCCCGGCCTATTTATTTATTTTTACAGAGATGGGGGTCATGCTCTGTTACCCAGGCTGGTCTCCAATTCCTGGGCTGCAGTGATCCTGTCACCTCAGCCTCCTGAGTGGCTTGTATTATAGGCACACCACTGTGTCCCGCTAGTTCCATTTTTTTTCAGATAAATTTTTTTTTTTTTTTGAGACAGAGTCTTGCTCTGTCACCCTGGCTGGAGTGCAGTGGCGCGATCTCAGCTCACTGCAAGCTCTGCCTCCTGGGTGCAAGCCATTCTCCTGCCTTAGCTTCCTGAGTAGATGGGACTACAAGCACATGCCACAATGCCTGGGTAATTTTTTTATTTTTTTGTAGAGATGGGTTTCAACATGTTGACCAGGATGGTCTTGATCTCCTGACCTGGTGATCCACGTTCCTTAGACTCCCAGAGTGCTGGGAAAACAGGTGTAAGCCACTGCACCAGGCCCTCAGATAAATTTTTTCAAATCCTCTAGAAACAGGTAGTATTTGTGCTTTTTAGACAATTCAGAATACACACACAAATATAACTTTTTTTTTTTTTTTGAAATGCAATCTTGCTCTGTCGCCCAGGCTGGAGTTCAGTGCTGTGATCTCGGCTCACTGCAACCTCCGCCTCACAGGTTCAAGCAATTCTCCTGCCTCAGCCTCCCGAGTAGCTGGAATTATAGATGTGTACTACCACGCCTAGCTAACTTTTTGTAATTTTAGTAGAGACGGGGTTTCACCGTGTTAGCCAGGATGGTCTTGATCTCCTAACCTAGTGATCCACCCACCTCGGCCTCCCAAAATGCTGGGATTATAGGCGTGGGCCACCATGCCTGGCCAAAATTTTTCTATTATTTATTTATTATACATAGAACATATTGATTTCTCAAATTCCAGATTCCTAAGGGATTTCTGTGTAAGCAATGAGAGATAACATGTCTTAGCCATTGCTAGTCAGAACCAAAGAAAATGCCCTGAAGATTCTAAGGTCTTCCACCAAGAAAAGTTTCTTAAAAGAAATGGAGGCAGGCCAGGCTCGGTGGCTCATGCCTGTAATCCCAGCACTTTGGGAGGCCAAGGCGGGTGGATCACGAGGTCAGGAGATCAAGACCATCTGGCTAACAGAATAACACCCTGTCTCTACTAAAAATACAAAAAATTAGCTGGGTATGGTGGCGTGTGCCTGTAGTCCCAGCTACTCGGGAGGCTGAGACAGGAGAATTTCTTGAACCTGGGAGGCAGAGGTTGCAGTGAGCTGAGATTGCGCCACTGTACTCTAGCCTGGGCTTCAGAGCGAGACTCCATCTCAAAAAACAAAACAAAACAAAAAAAGGAAATGGATGTATGGAACCAGTCAGGTAATAACAGCAATTACAGAATGGAAGAAGTACTGCAACAGGTCAAAAAACTGCTTTTCTTCCTGGTTCTGGTACACAATTCAGGATAACCTTAACCACCTATCTGGGGCCCAATTTCTTTACATTGCAAATAAGTTGGAATAAATTATCTTCTACGGACCCTTTAGTACTCAGTTCTGTAAACTCTGACTCAGAGGGGCCAGTGAGAACTCTGATAATTGGAGGCAATAAACTCATTGGATGGCTTTGAGTAAGATGACTTTGGTGTGCCTGTCAGTTCAAATCCTTCTATAGTCTCTAATCTCAACCCACTCCAACCACAGGCCTGGGGGCCTGTAGCTGTATATTATGGATCCTTTTAGGAAAAAATACCTTGCTAGTCACAACTGTGTTCTCCCTTGAAGTAAAATGAGTAGGTGAAGCTAGTGTTGGGAAAGAATGAAGCAGATGTGCAGAGATCACAGACAACCAACAGGCTAAGAAATACATCTGGCTTTACTACTGAATTTCCATTAGCAGGCTTTCATGAAATAATTATTGAATGACCACTGAATTCCATTCCCTCATGTGGCTTCCATGAGATACTACTGTATTTCTCTAATCATTCCATTATTCCTTCCCCTTAAGCTAGTGCAAGTTGCTTTCTTAAAACCAGAAAGCCCTCCCAAATACATTGTGATATTCTCCCCTTCATAACCACCACTTACTTCACTACAGGTATATATATGTCAGGCCTCAGGAAAGACAACACCAAAGACTGGATCACACGTTCCCGCTCAGGAATACAGAATTGGCATATGAGATTAGGTCGGTTTGTGTGTAGCACCGGAGATAATGATGTTTTGGCCAGTAGGCGAAATAAGCAGATACAGAGAGAAAAGTAGACAATGGCGGTTCTGAGACATCCCTATATTTTCCTGCTATGGACTGAGTGTTTGTCTCCCACAACCCCATTATGTTGAAATTCTAACCTCCAATGGTATTTCGAGGTGGGGCCTTTGGCAGGCAACTAGTTCAATAAACATGGAGCCCTCATGATGGGATTAGTGCCCTTGATCATGATGGTTTCACACGTTTATGTCAAAACCAATCAAATTTTATTCTTTAAATAGTTTTATTTTATTCTTTAAATAGCAATAGTTTTATTTTATTAAGTATTTTATTCTTTAAATAGCAGTTTCTTGTACTTCAATTGTACATCAATAAGGTTGCAAAAAAATGTGTTATTAACTGATTTCATTTAGAATAACCAATAATGTACCAATAATAGTACATTTAAGGCAGTCCCTTATGACTGTGCTATTTTGGACTTAATAATAGTACCTACTGATTTATTTCACTGCTTTCCCAACTCCCTTCACCCTCTGCTCCCAGGCTCTACCTAGTCCTCATAAAAGTGAACGATTATGAATGTCATAACCAAACTGATAAACTCAGGCCAGGCATGGTGGCTCACGCTTATAATCCCAGCACTTTGGGAGGTCAAGGCGGGGTGGATCACTTGAGGTCCGGAGTTTAAGACCAGCCTGGCCAACATGGCGAAACTCCGTCTCTACTAAAAATTTAAAAAAATTATCCTGGCGTGGTGGTACGTGTTTGTAGTCCCAGCTATTTGGGAGGCTGAGGTGGGAGAACTGCTTGAACCCAGGAGGCAGAGGTTTCAGTGAGCTGAGATTGCAACCACTGCACTCCAGCCTGGGTGACAGAGCAAGATTCAAAAAAACAAATAAAAATTGGTAAAGTCTAATTCAGAATTAGTAGAACTGGGATGCAAGATCTTACACGTTCCTCAAATCTGTCAAGGTTTTGTATTTTAATCTCTACATCCCTTCCAGGAGTCAAACATCAGTTTAAACTGGGGTAACTGATTTAACATGTACCAGTGTCATAGCTTATGTCAAAATTATCTACTTAGATTACAATCTCTTTTAAAGATAAGGCCACATCATTAATTTTGATTCCCAAGTTTCCAAGCACCATGTCTAGTACAGAGGAGAATGAGAAGGAACAGGAAAAGGGATAAAAGGATATGAGGTAAGATAGGTAGGAAGAAAAATGGTGTATGTGCAGAGTATGTGTGGGAGTAGATTATGCAGGGCCTTGTAGTCCACGATGAAAACACTGGACTTTAGTCTGATTGTGACACAAAACCATTGGCATGGTCTGATTTATACATACACACACACACACACACACACACACACACACACACATTTCAATGTATACATTTTTTTTCTGAGACAGAGCCTTGCTCTATCACCCAGGCTGGAGTGTAGTGGCACAATAGCTCACAGCAACCTCTACCTCCTAGGTTCAAGCAATTATCCTGTCTCACCCTCCTGAGTAGCTGTTATTACAGGCATGTGCTACCACGCCTGGCTAATATTTGTATTTTTTTGTAGAGACAGGGTTTCACCATGTTGGTCAGATTGATCTTGAGCTCCTGAACTCAGATGATCCACCCACCTTGGCCTCCCAAAGTGCTGGGATTACAGGCATGGGCCACTGCACCCAGCCTAATTTGTATTTTAAAATAAGGATCACCCTGAATGCTACGTAGAGAATATGCTGTATGAGAAAAATATGGAAGCAGGGTATATACCAAAGAGTACACCAAGAATGGGTGCACATGTTCACTGAAATATAGATGTGATTATTTTCACAGTAACTTTATTCATAATGACCACAAGCCGGAAACCACCTAATTTCTATCAACAGTAGAATGGATTAGTAAGTTGTGATGCAGTCACACAATGGAATACCACACAGAAGTAAAACATGAACTGCTACTACATATATCATGGATTACTCTCACAGATACATTGTTGAACAAGACATGGAAGAGTGCATATAATTATTTCACTTAGTTTTAAAACAGGCAAACTAATTTGTGGTGATAAATGGAGTTGGTGGGGTGCCTGGGGAGCAAAGGGATACCTACTGAGGTGCTAGAGATGTTCTACATTTTTTTTTTTTTTTGAGACGGAGTTTCGCTCTTGTTACCCAGGCTGGAGTGCAGTGGCACGATCTCGGCTCACCGCAACCTCCGCCTCCTGGGTTCCGGCAATTCTCCTGCCTCAGCCTCCTGAGTAGCTGGGATTACAGGCATGCGCCACCATGCCCAGCTAACTTTTTTGTATTTTTAGTAGAGACGGGGTTTCACCATGTTGACCGGGATGGTCTCGATCTCCTGACCTCGTGATCCACCCGTCTCGGCCTCCCAAAGTGCTGGGATTACAGGCTTGAGCCACTGCGCCCAGCCGAGATGTTCTACATTTTAATCTGGGTGGTGCATTCAAGGGCATACATAAAAGTCCACTGAAGTATACACTTAATATCTGTACACTTTTAGATTTTTACCTCAATAAAAGATTGAAAATATGTTGGAAGAAAGCATATAAATGAAGACGTTAATCAGTGGTGTTGTCCTCCAAATATTTCTGGTTTTTCTCCTAGGTATATGTAAGGATTACACTCCTCCTAGAATGTTAATGTGGCTATGTGATTTGCTTTGGCCAGCGAAAAGTGCCTGAAGGGTCCTTACGTGATCTTCCATACTCTCAATGGTATCTGCTTTGTTATCCTGAGACCCAGAATGAAGGCAACTTAGAGCACAAATTGGTCAATTTTTTCTGTAAAGGGCCAGAGAATAAATATTTTAGGTTTTGTGAGATGTACACTCTGTGTTGGAACTACTCAACTCTAACACTGTAGAACCAAAGTAGTCACAGATAATAAATAAATGGACAAGGCTATATTCCAGTAAAACTTTAGACAAGAAGCTAGGCAGATTTTGCCCATGGGCCATAGTTTGCCAACCTATGACCTAGACCAAAGTCCCTAGCCAAGTTGCAAAAGTTATGTGAGACAGTGAGATTTTGCCTTTGTTATCCATAGGCAAGCTAGCCCATGGTGACACAGAAACTGGTCCCTTGTTTTTGAAAATGCTGAAATACTGGACATTGGTTTAATGGTTAGCTGGCAGGCATTCAGAAAACTGTTATCAGAAGATGGAAGAAATAACCTATCTAGGATAATTTATATTATGGAAAAGTGAAACTCCCCTTTGAGATAACCTGAAAGGCATATCATCTACCCTTTACTAAAGAAATAGACAACAAAACAAAATATTTTGTAGTTGCTGTTTGCTGCACTTGACAAAATGTACAAAAAAAGAGTCTGAACTCAGAAAAGACTGGTCAGAATACAGGCAGAAATGAAAAAGAATATAGAGAATTCACAAATTCAAGTATTTACTGGGTAGGATGAGGCAACATTTTAATGACAGGATAAAAATGAAAAATCCTTTTAAAAATAAATAAATAAAAAGAGGAATCTTTTAGCCAAAAGGTTGATTAAAAGCCAGTTTTGCCAGCCAGGTGCAGTGGCTTACACTTGTAATACCAACATTTTGGAAGCCTGAGGTGAGTGGATTGCTTGAGCCAAGGAGTTTGAGACTAGCCTGGACAATATAGCAAGATCCGGTCTCCACATAATACAAAAATAAGCTGGTTGTAATCGCATACACCTGTAGTCCCAGCTATCTGGGAGGCTGCAGTGGGAGAACTGCTTGAGCTGGGGAGGCAGAGGTTGCACTGAGCTGAGATTGCACTACTGCATTCCAGCTTGGGCGACAAAGTAAGACCCGGCCTTAGTTAAAAAAAAAAAAAAAAAAAAAAAAAAAAAAAAAAGCCAGTTTTGCAGCAAGAACCAAATTAACTAGATGACTATGATACCTACTGTTATGATCTCTGAATGATTTAATATGCCTCAGACTATAAGTCCAACTAAGATTATACTAGTAAATCCCTTAAATTGGACAAAATGGCTTAAGGAAATAGACTAAGGGTACGGTTTTCCCACCTATGCCTGAAAAGCCTCAGTTACCCAGAATTTAAGTTAGAGAGGCATGGGAACAAAAGGCAAAGATATATAGCAAATTTTAAAAGTATACATTAACTAGATGTCACTTTTGGGTCATCTCCCTTTGGGTGATAAGGACATTCTGCAGGTATAAAAACAAGTGAACCGAATATATAGTGACCAGAAAGGCTGAGTCATTCTTCTATTTTGTTAAATTTACTTACTTTTAAATCCCAGAAGAGCCAAAAATCATCTGTAAAGCAAAGTAGCAAGTAAATAGTATGCCATTTTCTCCTAGTGTTGATGCCTACAAAAGGAAAAATGATTATTAACTCTTTGGTGGCATTATCTTTTTCCAATACTAAATATAACATTTTAATCACTTTTTAGTTAATTATTTGTCCAATCTTTTCCCTCTACATGTAGGTTCCTTTGAAAATAATAATAAAAGACTTAAAGATTCTATACATGGATATACAAACCTAATATAATGGATTTAGGTGTGTATATCTGGTTTTGAATTCTGAGTTTACTACTTACTATTTTCACTAGGGAAAACTGCAATTTCAGTTTGTTTAACATTCACATAAATATCTGAGTCACATGCTAAGCACTACACTAAATTCTGGGAATACAATGAGATCCCTAGTTACAAAGAACTTAGCTTCATTTCTCAATTAGTCACATGCGGATAGAAGTTACCCAATGGACAGTCTAAGGCAGAATGACTGTGAAGGTCAAATAAGACTGTGAAAAAGCTTCAAAAATTGTAAAACACTACACAAATATTCGTTTATCCAAACATTTATTGAAATGCCAGGCATTGTGCTGAGCACTAGAAATATAACAGTGAACAAGGCTTATATGGTCCCTGCCCTTACAAAGCTTACAGTCTAGCAGTGATTAATAAGCAGTAACAACAAAGTGTGCCAAGTGTGTTTAGGAAAGAACAGGGTACATAGAGAATGCATAGTAAGGGCACCTAATCTAGAGGGCATCAATGAAGGTTTCCTAGATGAAGTGGCAGACTGAGTCCTTAAAGATGAAGATAAATTTGTATTGTATACTAAGAGCAATGGTGTAAGCAGTAGAATGATGATATGATCAGTAAGTCTTCTGGAGCAATTTGGTTGTAGTGTAGAAAGGAATAAAAATAAAAAAACAGGGAGACTAATAAGGAGGCTGCTGCTATAATTTAGGTAGGTTGATGGCTTGAATTAAAATGGTAGCGTTGGAGAGTTGGGAAAAGTCATGCACAAATCAGCTTTCGGCTTGGGTAAGGACAAACAAATGAACGGCTAGTAGTGGTAATGCCATTTAGTCAAAGAGGGAACATGAGAGGAAGAGCAGGATTGGGGGCAAGATCAATGACATGTAGTGCCTGAGACAGCAAAGACGATTTGTTAGCAATCAGATATACGAATTAAGAAAGGTCTAGAAAGGAGATATGAATCTGAGAGTTATTTTCATATAGGTGGTAATGAAGCCGTGGAAAGAAATGAGATCAGCTAGCAAGATGACATAGAATAAGGCAGTCTGAAACAATTTTTTTTAAACATACAAAAAAACAGCTATTTAAGGAAAGAGATGCCTACAAAGACTAAGAAAGCATACCCAGAGATGAATCTCCTCAAAGCTAAAGTCATCAAGTGTTACAAGGACTTAGTGAGCTTAGTAGAGCAATTTGAGTGGCAATACAGGAGACTGGGAATACAAGTTTGTCAAGAAAACTAGTAGGAATGAGCTATAGGGCAGTAACTGGTAAGGATATAAGAGTTTTTTTTAAAAGGTACTCATTTTAACTATATTCACTGTTACAACAGGACCAGTAACAACTATATTTATGTGTGTATAGATATATATATATATACACATATATATGGAAAAAAAAAAAGACTGCCATGCAGTTACAGAATTACTTAATACAGAAAACAGTAAAATACACCTTTTTTTTTTTTTCCAAACAAGACTAGTTTATAGCAAATTCTCTATAGCTAAGGGTCAATTTCAAATCCTTGGCTTGTATCTCCCCCTCAATGACTATATGATACAAACTAATTTTATTAACACCTTAAGCAAAACATACTGGAACTTCACAAAATACACAAGATTTCAATATTTAAGGAACTGGGGTTAGAAAGCAGAAGTGGCTTTCAGGTCTTCCAATCTTTCTCTCAAGTAATAAAGCTCTGCTATGAATATTCAAATCTATTGGGAAAATACTGGTGGATTTGGCTGTTTTTTCAGTTTCCCACTGTTGTTTTCCAGCTATGTAAGCTTACTCTATTAACCAAAATCTCAACTTGACCATTCTTTTTTTTTTTTTTTTTGAGACAGAGTTTCGCTCTTGTTACCCAGGCTGGAGTGCAATGGCAGCGATCTCGGCTCACCGCAACCTCCGCCTCCTGGGTTCAGGCAATGCTCCTGCTTCAGCCTCCTGAGTAGCTGGGATTACAGGCACGTGCCACCATGCCCAGCTAATTTTTTTGTATTTTTAGTAGAGATGGGGTTTCACCACGTTGACCAGGATGGTCTCGATCTCTTGACCTTGTGATCCACCCGCCTCGGCCTCCCAAAGTGCTGGGATTACAGGTTTGAGCCACCGCGCCCGGCCAACTTGACCTTTCTTGATAAGTACCTTATTGACATATAACTTTTTGTCTTAAATATCTATAACAAGACAGAGCCCTTAAATCGGATTCAATATTAATTCCTGATTTACAAGGAATTTTGTGAGCTAACAGACCTTTATCAATGCCTTTATTGCACTTTACCAGCCAAATCTGGAAGGTTAGAATTAGTCTCTCCTACCTAGTATTCTGTCAGTCTGCCTAACTTGCGCTTCGACTGGTTATCTGCCCTGTCCCTTGAAATAAAATAATCCACATTTTGGGAGAAATAATTCTTCATTGTGCCAGGCTGTCCCATGCACTGCAGGGGGTGAAGGTCTTTAGGCTTAAATGCCAACAGAAGCTCCTAAATATAACAACCAAAAAAGTGCCCCTACACATTTCTCAGCATCGTCTGGAAGGACAGGTTGCCACCTCTGGTTGAAAGCCACTGGCACAACTTTTGTTTTTAGGCCCTTATGGAATTTATTTTGATTGCCCAGACAACAACTCCATCCAAATTCTTAGTTGTAGCCTGGTTTCTTAAATTTGCTGCACTAGTAACCACAGATTAAGGTGTTTCAATAGTTAAGGCAGGACTTTGGAACAAGTTTTTAAACTGCATAATACTTGAGAGGATCTATAAATATACATTGGATCCTGTTTACAATTAGTTTTACATAGCAAACTTAAGATTGCCTTTTCATGGTTAACAGAAGTTTGGAAATTACTGTTTTGGCACAAAGCAGATATCTTACTAGAAATACAGAATTACTGCAATCTGTGAATGAGACTGCTTTTAAATATTTCCACTTGTCTGCTGTCTTAAATATAGAATGTGTAAGACAGTTGCAAATTCTAGAATAAATCCATTTCTAGCATCTAACAAAATCTGATACTGTATCATTTTAAAACAAAGTGTTTCTTTTAAGCAGGATTTTAAAAAATAAAGCAATAACACCCATGCAGATAAGACAAAAAAGCTAAAATATCTCACATCTCCTAATCCTGGAGTGCAAACATCTTTTTTCCTCATCCTTTTTGATACGGCCAAACTTCTGTTTGCGGTTAAAAAAAAAAAAAAAAAAAAAAAAATTACCACCTTGCAACCATTAAGATTCTATACTTACCATAGATAGTCCTTTAATAGGCAAGCTGATAAAATAGCCCCCAGTTATTAAAAAAAAAAAAAATTCAAGGAAAACCCCCCATAATTAGTCTTATCTCCAAACTGCAGGAAGTCTCCTACATCAGCAACTTAAAAATGATTCTAATTACTTCCTCTATCAGTTATGTCAGTTATCACCGAGGTGGGTTATGGGGAGGAAAGAGGAAAGAAATCTGTCAATATTACCTTCGGACTCAGAAATGTTTAAAAAAAAAGTCTCAAACATTTTGATGGTTAGACAAAACACCGCCACTGTATGTATGGTCTTCCTTTTTGGAAATTTATGAACTTGCTATGTGAGTTTCTGCAAACGGGTTCAAAAGCACATTTAAGGAGTTGATAATTTAAGATTATATTAACCAGAATTTTAACACTCCATTAAAATAAGAGCTGAAATTTTTGGCATATATCTTCAGAACACCTAAAAAACAGACTGCAAATTCAACTCACATAATTAATACTAAATCTCTTTAAAATTAACTATATCATAAAAGACAATGACTTTGTCATTAAACTAAGTTTTAAAAAAGGTGGCATTTTCATGTTTCAGTCCCATGCTGCCATTTGAGATGGAAAAAAAAGGCAACTGTCAGAATTTGAATTGTGATCAGTTTGGACGGCTGGTACGTGGTGCTTTCTCACAATCCAAATTAGTAAACTTGAAAACTCAAACCAATTTTTGCTTTTAGAATTAAATTCTTGTTGAGTTTCTCAATCTTGTACTACAAAGCTTTATGGATTCGATTCATTTCTTTCTCTCACAAGATCATCCCAACTGGGCTCCATTTCAGTTGTGGCAACCCGAAACAGGGCTTGGAGATGCTCATCTGTCAATGGCTGACTCAAAGTGTGTTGGTTTCGAGTCAAATATGAAAAAGCCTTTTCGCAGATTTGGTTACTATCAAACAAGGATGCCACCTTACAGGCAACCCCTTTGATAATTGGGTAAGATTCAGCAGACAATCCCGCATAAAACTGCCCTAAGTCTTTGATTCTGTATTCATTCCAAAGATTAGTGTTTGCCTGAAGTTTTGTTAGCTCCACTCTCACTGAAATAGGTGCATATTCAGGTTTAAAGTTAAATGGATTTGAAAACAGTTCTAAGTCCTTTTTAATGAACCTGAGGTCCTTAAAGTGTCTCTCAAATTCTTTTTGTAGACGACAGATCACCATTTGATACCTATCAGGATCAAATATTTTTTGATCTTCCTTATTTTGCTGTTTTAGCTCATCAACAACTTCTTTGAGGGCAGGAAAGTCTGTTAGATTTTTTTCCTCAATATGTCTTTGAAATAAATTCAGCTTAACTTCAAAAGTACAAATATGGTCAAAGGCGGCAGCAGCAAAGACCTTACTAACTCGTAATTCTTCACTGAGTACTCGAAGGTGTTCCATAATATCTACCAAGAAGCCAAAGTCACAAAGCCATTGTTTGTCTGAGAAGTGGACTGTTGTTGCCCCTACTGAAACCAAGAACGCTTCCATCTCTTTTCTTAGAGAGAATATTAGTTTTAAAGTTTTCCCTCTTCTAAGCCAATTGTTCAGACATCGTCCATTAACCCTTTCACCATGCTCTGATTCAGATTCAGTTAGCAAAGTCTGAAATTCAGGTCGCCTAACACCTCTGGTCTTAATCAAAACTATCCATTCGGAGATGGTATTTATGATCTGATTCACATCTACATCATAGGAGCTCAAGAGTTCCAAGTGAAGAAATCCCGAATAATGAATCACATTCCAACAGTTGGGGCTCACAGCCTTTTCTCTCATGTACGAGACGAGTCCCGAGTTCTCACCGATCATCCTCAAAGTATGCGTCGTGGTGAGTCCAACCATTCTCTGCAAGCTGAGCCCTGCTGTCTGCAGGGCCTCTAGGATTGCCGACATGAGTGCCCCGACGCTGAAATGATGAGTCAGGTTGATGATGGTCAGGAGATCTTCTTGCACGTCCAGCTCGGCGCCCACCCCGCGGATAAAGACCAAGAGGTAGTTCTCATAGGCCACAAAAGCCTGGTCGTCCAAGGCAAGAGAATAGGCCTTAAAGTCCCTGGCTCGGTTAAAAAGCTGACTGCGCAGATTCCTGTCAATGCTCAGGATCCTCTGCCTCGCGCTCTCCGGAGACAAGTCAATGCCTTGCAGGACGCTCGCATGCTCGGGCAGCACCTCTCGCAGCAGCACCTCCATGCACTGGTGTACAAAGTCCCCCTCACCCCAACCGCGACCCTTCAAGGCCAGCAGGCGGCAGAGCCCGAGGCCTGCACGAGCAGCTCTCTCTTCAGGAGTGAGCGAGGCCACGGGCAACTCGCCCTGACGCAGACGTTCCACCAGGGCCGCGCGCTCGCCGTCCGCCACATACCGCTCGTAGTATTCGTGCTCGGCCTCGTAGTGGCGCCTGACGTCGCGTTCGCGGGTAGCTACGATGAGGCGGCGACAGACCAGGCACAGGGCCCCGTTACCCTCCGGAGGCTCCACAACCAAGTAACGCTGGGTCCACTCCGGCCGGAAAACTAGAGCCTCGTCGACTTCCATCTTGCTTCTTTTGGGCGTCATCCACATTCTGCGGGAGGCCACAAGAGCAGGGCCAAAACGTTAGAAAGGCCGCAAGGGGAGAGGAGGAGCCTGAGAAGCACCAAGCACCTCCTCCGCTCTGCGCCAGATCACCTCAGCCGAGGCACACAGTTCGGGCTCTGGCATCTCTGTTCCTATTGGCTGGATATTTCGTCTTCCCCGAGCTCCTAAGAACGAACCAATAGGAAGATCGGACAGTGATTTCTAACGCGCAAGCGCAGATCCTTCTAGGTAGCGGGCGCAGCCGCTTGAGGGAGGGAGGAAGAGACGGAGCAACCCACGGAGTTGAGAAATTTGACTGGCATTCAAGTTGTCCAATCAAGAGCTGCCTCTGAAGGGAGGGGCTGGATGGCGTAAGCTACAGCTGAAGGAAGAACGTAGGCAAGAGGCACTGAGGTGATTGGCTGAAGGCACTTCCGGTGAGCATCTAGAGGTGGCGCCAAAATGTCGTTCGTGGCTGGGGTTATTCGGCGGCTGGACGAGACGGTGGTGAACCGCATAGCGGCGGGGGAAGTTATCCAGCGGCCGGCTAACGCTATCAAAGAGATGATTGAGAACTGGTACGGAGGGAGTCGAGTCGGGCTCACTTAAGGGCTACGACTTAACCGCCCGCTCCTCTTAATGGCGCGGACACACCTTGGGCAGAGGTGTGTACAGCGCATGCCCACAACGGCGGAGGCCGAGGGGTTTCCTGGCGCGTGCCAGTCAGGCCTTCTTTTCTGCCAACCCTGTGTTTCTTTACCGCTCTCGCTAGACCTTGTGAGGGTGATTCGGGGTGCGAGTGGAGGAGTATACTTAACTGTCATCTTAATGGTACAGTTAACTAAGGAAGTCACTTAATTTAAAATTATGCAGAAGATACAAAGTTAGAAGATGTATAAAAGCTTAGAATGGGGAAAAATCTGTTTTTCAGAGGTTGCTGTTTTCTTGCTAATTCCAGAAATCATCTGTACATATCCAAAGGCACAATTCATTTTGAGTTTCATTCAAAACAAAGTTGAGTGTTGGGACAGGCTGATGCACTCTGGGCTTGACTTCTGATTACCTTGTTACACTATTAAATTAGTGACCCCTCTGAGTGTTTTCCTGCCCTTTACTTGGGAGGGCGCACTTCGAAGATACCAGATTTTATGGGTCATCCGTGGATTCTGAAGCCTAGAACTGTCACAAAAAAATGTGGCGGAAGAGATTGGAAACATGGGGAAGGAAAAGTGAGTGTGGACTGTAAACCTCCAAAAATCTATTCCCAAAATACACCCAAACGTTATGTCAGATCCTTTTTGTTAAAATCAGTTGATGTTAGTGAAGTCCGTACATTAATAGAAAAAAATAATGATTCAGTGAAGAGTGGTGGGTTTCTAGAGGGATTTATTGTGAAAGTATAAACTTCAGGGCAATGGGACTGAAAGATCAGTGGGTAGAAAGGACCAGTGAAGGAAAGGAAGAGAATTGGAAAGTAGATGAAAGAAGGAGCAAGGAACCTGGGGATGTTTTTTCCTTTTCATTTGTAATAGTAGTAGTAGAAATAGTGGCGGAGTGGCTTTTGTTGCTGCTATGTTAGAATGCTATGACGGAACAACTGGGCCTTTTATTGTACTGTGCCAGAATACTGTAAAACAAAACCAAACATAACATACTAGCTTGGTGGCTTGTAATTCCTTAAGTGGGGATTTTTATATGGAGTCCAGTTATGCCCTTTCTAGTATATAAGTTGAGATGACGAAATATAATTTCACTACAGGGGCTCATGAGAAAGGTCTTTAATATTTAAGTGATTTACTGTCTTCTTTCTTTTTCTTTTCTTCTCTCTTTTTTTTCTTTTTTGAAAGAAAGAGAAAGAGAAAAGGGGAGAGAGAACAGGAGTGTTGCTCTATTGCCCAGGCTGGAATGCAATAAAAATAGATATTAAAAACCTCTTTTATGCTGATAATTGTGCCTAACAGTGGAGACAGGAAGGAATAAGGGAAGAAAATGACAAACAGCCAACAAATATTTAAGTCTGAAATGCTATGCAATTGCTGAAGAGTGATTTACTTCCAATTATGTGGTCACTTTCAAAACAGGTGTAATATGATGCTGAGAAAAATGTATGTTCTGTGGACCTGGGGTGAAGAATTCTATAAATATTCACTGAGTTTATTTGTTCCAGGTCTGAGTTCAAATCATAGATGTCCCTGTTAATTTTCTATCTTGTTGATCCGTTGAATATTAACAATGTGGTGTCAAAGTCTCCCGCTATTATTGTGCGGGAGACCAAGTCTCTTTATAAGTCATTAAGAACTTGTCTTATGTATCTGGGTGTTCCTATATAGGGTGCATATATATTTATGATCATTGACTCCTGTTGTTGCATTGATCCTTTTATCATTATGTAATGTCCTTCTTTGTTTCTTTTAGTCTTTGTTACTATTAAAGTCTATTTTGTCAGAGACAAAAGTTACAACTCTTGTTTTCTTTTCTTTTTTTTTTTTTCCCCCTCTATTTGATTGGCAAGTCTTCCATCAACCGTTTGTTTTGAGTGTCTGTGTGTCCTTGCTTATGAGGTGGATCTGGATACAGCGAACCGATGGGTTTTGACTTTTTATTCAGTTTACCTGTCTGTATCTCTGATTGGGGCATTTAATCCATTTAAATTTAGGATTAATATTGATATTTGTGAATTTAATATTGTTGTTTAATGCTAGCTGGCTATTTTGCCCATTAGTTGATATAGATTCTTCATCATGGAGATACTTTTTACCTTTTGGTAAGTTTTTAGGATGACTGATACTGCTTGTTCCTTTCTGTGTATAGTGCTTCCTTCAGAAGCTCTTGTAAAGCAGGCCTGGTGGTGATGAAATCTCTGAGTGCTTGCTTGTTCGCAAAAAATTTTATTTTTCCTTCATTTGTGAAGCTTAATTTGGCTGGATATGAGATTCTGGGTTGAAAATTCTTTTCTTTGAGGACATTGAATATTGACCCCCACTCTCTTTTAGTTTGCAGGGTTTCAGCTTAGAGATCTGCTGTGAGTCTGATAGGCTTCCCTTTACGGGTGACCTGACCTTTCTCTCTAGCTGCCCTTAGAATTTTCTCCTTTATTTCAACCCTGGTGAATCTAACGATTATGTGTCTTGGGGTTGCTCTATTGGGGTTGCTCTACTTGAGGAGTATCTTTGTGGTGTTCTTGTATTACCTAAAGTTGAGTATTTTCCTGCCTTACTAAGTTAGGAAAGTTTTCCTGAAATTATTCAGGAAATATCCTGAAGAATATTTTCCAGCTTGGATTCATTCTCTTCATGACATTCAGGTACACTTATCAAATGCAAATTAGGTCTTTTCACATAGTCCCATATTTCTTGGAGACTTTGCTCATTCTTTTTAACTCTTTCTTCTCTAATCTTGTCTCTCGTTTCATTTCACTAAGTTGGTCTTCGACCTCTGATATCCTTTCTTCTGCTTGATCAATTCGACTGTTAAAACCTGTACATACTTCGTGGAGTTCTCATATTCTTCAGTTCTATTAATTCACTTATATTCCTCTCTGGATTGTATACTCTCCTTAGGATTTCGTCAAACCTTTTTTCAAGGTTCTCAGTTTCTTTACCTTGGGCTAGAACATGCTCTTTTAACTCACAGAAGTTTCTTATTCATCTTCTGAAGCCTCAATCTGTTAATGGAACGCACTCCTTCTCCATCAGGCCTTGTTCCCTTGTTGATAAGGAACTGTGATCCCCTGTAGAGGAAGAGGCATTCTGATTTTGGGTATTCTCAGCCTTTTTTCGCTGGTTTCTTCCTATCATTGTAAATTTATCCACCTGTCGTCTTTGTAGTTACTGACTTTCAAATTAGGTCTCTGAGTGGACATCCAACTTGATTCCCCGCACCGGAATCTGACCAACCCACCGTGCCGGCCAAAACAGCGGCGTTAAGATTCTTGGTGCTTTTCTGTCTGGGAATCTCTGGTCTGGCTTTATTCTTGAGTCTCTTTTTCAATCAGCTGAATACGCGACTTTGCCTTCCTGGAGCTCCAAATGTTGACCAAAAGGGGACCCAGAGTCGTTTACTCTGCACCAAGAACTGCCGCGCTGGGGCGGCAAAACCGCTGTGCCGGCTACAAGAGTCGTGCTAGTGACCCGTGGGGCTCCTCCACTGGGAATCTCCTGGTTTGTGAGCAACAAAAATTCGTCTGAAAGTGTGGCGTTCTCTCGTTCTCTGTGCTTTCACTAGGAGCTATAATCCTGAGCTGCTAGTAAATAGCCATCTTGGATCTCTCTCCTTTTTTTTTTGAGATGGAGTCTTACTCTGTTGCCCAAGTCTGAAGTGCAGTAGCATGATCTTGGCTCAGTATAACCTCCAACTCTCGGGTTCAAGCTATCTTTCCTGCCTCAGCCTCCCAGGTAGCTGGGAGTACAGGTGTGCGGCACCATGCTTGGCTAATTTTGTAGTTTCAGTAGAGACGGGGTTTCGTCATGTTGACCAGGCTGATCTCGAACTCCCGACCTTCATGTGATCCACCCACCTCAGCCTCCCAAAGTGTTGGGATTATAGGCAGGAGCTGCCGTGCCCAGCCTAATGTCTTTATTCTGAATAAAGACTTGTCTGTGTGGGGAATAGATAACTCTTTCTCATGCAGCCCTTGCTAGAAAATTTGTTTTCTCTAGCAGGTAGTCTGTACTTGTAGGTTACTCTTTTGAAAGCACAAAATATTTATTGATTTTCTTTTTTTTTTTTTTCCCCCAGGAGCACGTGCACTTTATTGAACCACTGTAGAAAAGTGTGTGAGGGTAAAGGGTTGATGCAGGATGGGCTGGGGGCAGGGCGAGGGATGGAATCCGGATACCAGGGAGACAGACAGGTCACGAGCAGAGCCCCTGGCCCGGGTGATTCCTCTGGATCTACTGATAGGCTTGCAGAATCAGGATTGGGATGATGATCATCAGAATGGTCATGATGATGCCCAAAATCAGGGCCCAGATGTTCAGGCACTTGGTGGTGGAGGCGTAGGCCTGGGCCCCGGTCAGGTTGCCAACCATCTTCCTGTCCCTAGATTGCTGGGGAAGCTGGGTGCCAGTCTGGAAGGTGAGGGTGTCATTTCTTGCACTGGGGTATAGGGAGCCTTGCTCTGGGCTGCTTCACAGAGTAGGCGAACGCTATGAAGCCCAGGCAGCAGGAGTTCATGAAGAGGGTGTTGAACAGAGACCAGATGACATGGTCAGGCACGGAGGTCTCGCTTCGGATGTGCATCACGGTAGATGTCGGGGGTGCAGGGTTGTGGGGCACCCCCAGTGCAGCCACCTCATGCTCCTCCTTC